CGCCCGGTTCCCGCAGAGCCCTCCGCGGACCTGCTGGTGAACCTGAGCCGCTGCCGGCGCCTCATCGTGGTGCTGTCGGACGCCTTCCTGGGCCGGGCCTGGTGCAGCCACAGCTTCCGGTGGGTCCGGCGCTGGGTTGGGTGGGCCCCCAGCCGCGTCCCCCTGACGGTCCCGCCCCCGCAGGGAGGGCCTGTGCCGGCTGCTGGAGCTCACGCGCAGACCCATCTTCATCACCTTCGAGGGTCAGAGGCGCGACCCCGTGCACCCCGCGCTCCACCTGCTGCGCCAGCACTGCCACCCGGCGACCCTGCTGCTCTGGAGGCCCGGCTCCGTGGTGCGCAGAGGGGTGTGGGGAGGAGCCCCGAAATAGGGCTGGGTGGTACCGGGCTCCAGAGAGGGGCTCTTCCACGGGCATCTGTATGGGATGGGGGTTTGTGAATGGGCCCGTGGGTGAGGGCTGTGTGGCCTGCTGCCCAGAAGAGGGGCTTCCTTTGAGATCCCTGGAGCCAGGTGAACACACCCTTCCAGGTGTGCTCTTTGCGGCCAAGGGGACTAGGCTAACGGCCCCATCCTGGCCCCCAGGCGCCTTCTTCAGATTTTTGGAAAGAGCTGCAGCTGGCGCTGCCACGGAAGGTGCGGTACAGAGCAATGGAGGGAGACCCCCAGACCCGGCTGCAGGATGACAAAGACCCCATGCTTATTGTACAAGGCCACGTCCCAGAGGGTCGGACTCTGAACCTGCAGCTGGACCCCGACCCGGAGGGGGACCTGGGTATGCTCAGCTGGCCCCACCCCTGACCCTGAGAGGCTTGGCCTGGGCTGGAGGTGGGGGGGTCCACAGGGCCAAGGAGCCCAGAAAGGGGTCCAGGTGGAGGGGACTCCTCCCTGCAGGCCATAGGTGGGCTTGACCCCCCAGCACACCCTCACTGCTTCTTTCCTGGGGGCACTTGGGCCCAAGGCCTGCCTGGGAACCTCCAGGACCTCAAATGCCACCATGCAGGAGGGTGAGCAAGGAGTGACCCCCATGCATGGGTCCCGGCAGAAGTCAGGCCGTGGGCAGCCTAGCCTTAGGCCTGGTGGTACCCTCTTCCCAGGTGTCCGAGGGCCAGTCTTTGGGGAGCCGTTAGCTCCACTGCATGCAAGTGGGGTCTCTCTTGGAGAGGGCCGGGGCAGCGAGGTAGATGTCTCCGACCTCGGCTCCCGCAACTACAGCGCCCGCACGGACTTCTACTGCCTGGTGTCGGAGGATGACGTGTAGCCCCCACCCGCCAGAACAGCAAGATCTCCAAGGACAGCTGGGTGCAGGGTGGGGTGGGGTCTTTCTCCTCTTAGCAGGACTACCAGCCCTGAGACCCTCAGGGAAGGGGAGTTGCTCCAGTGTGCCTCCTACTGCCAGGAAATAAAGTCCTTTTAGATCCTGCCTGGGTCTCAGCCTCTCCTCTCCTGGGGCAGGAAGGGGGTATGCAGCCCCTGGGTGGGGCACCCCTCACTTCTGTCTCAGGCTGTCCGTGGCCCTCAGCCCCTCCCCTTTCTTATCCCCACGTTCACTCGGTCACAAATCTGGCTGTTCCTGCTGTCCTGACCATCCTCCATCCTGAGCCAGCTCAGAAACATCTCTTGTAGTAGCCTCTTTGGGTCTATCTGCTTGGGGGCGTGACTGTCCCCAGCCCTGTTCTGATCCAGCCAGGTCCTGGGGGAGGGGGCAGTCCTCTTACACTTCAGGTACTGAGCTTTAAGGAAGAAGTCTTTTGCTGTAAACATATGAGTGGGCCTGGTTTGGTGACATGGGATCCCAGGACTCAGTCGGACAATGTGAGTCCCTGGTCAGGATACCCCAGGCCCAGCGAGGCAGGGCAGAGAGAGGTGTTGGGTGTGTTTGCCACATGAGGATGGTCCAGCAGGGCAGAACCGAAGCCAGGAGAGCTCCCGGCTCTCCCAGGAGTGGTCACTCTTCTGTGCACAAGGCCCTCAGCTCTACTGTGTCTGGGCCTCAGCCGGCATCAGGGCTGACTCTGCTGTCTGCCCTGTTCCCTCCACTCTCACCAGCTCTCCGTGAGAGGTACTGTCTTCCTTGTCCTGGTCTCCTGACCTGGAGAAGCCTCTGGGTGTGCTCAGGGTGTGAGTATCCTCAGGGGCAGGCATGGTTGTGCTCAGGGACACTGCTGAGTCCCTGGATTGGACCCCGGGTTGGGCCAGCCGAAGAAAGTTGCAGGGCTGTGTTCACGGCCACCTTTATTCCCAGCACTGGGAATATTCCCAGACCTGGTCACCACCCCACACACCAGAGCAGCCTCAAGCCCTGCCCTACCCCCTGCCCTATAGAAGCCAAGTCCCTGCAACCAGCCCCCATCCCCTCCCTGGTGCCCTAGGCCCTTCAGAGTTGCACACGGGGCTCCACCGAGAGGCCCCAGGCCATCAGCCTCCGCCGGGCTGGCCAGTGAGCAGCGCAGAGCTGAGCCTGTCCCTTGGAGGCTGGGCCACGCTGCATCCTCCTCCTCCAGGAAGGCCTCACCTATGGGCCCAGGAAGTCCTCCTTTCGATAGCCCTTCTGCAGTGGAGAGGGGGCCCATAGTTAGGGGGCCTGCCTTCCGGCCCTGCTCTCCCCAGGCCCCACCCTTCCTGGTCTGGGCCTGGACCCCTCTCTCATGTTTCCCCCTCCCTGAGTCTCCTGCTCCACAGGAGCTCCTCGGTCCACCCCCCTCCCCACTGTCCCCCACCCCTGCCACCCCACCCTACCACCCCGATGTCCTGCACCCCTGCCTGCCCCAGATCGCCAGAACATACCGCCCGGAAGTCTCGGTGAAGCTTGCTGTACCGCCACAGATTGGCCAAGAGGCTGGAGGCTGCTCGGGAGGACTTCTCACTGTCGGGACTGGCAGGGAGCTGGGGTCAGCAGAGCCACAGGCTGGGCCATGGGGAAGGGTGCGTGGGGGAGGGGCTCACCTGTCCCGCTTCTTCTTGATGAAGACCAGCTTTCGGAGCCCGTCAAAGTAGAGCAAGTCTCGGGCGGCAATGGGACTGGTCACCACCAGGTTGTTGAGCACGGCGATGATGTTGACCAGCACATCGGCTGGGGGAGACTTCTCACCCACGCTGCCGGGAAGCTTCTCAATCAGGTGACTCACCACCTTGGTGGCTGCCGGGAGGCCAAGAGGTCAGGGGGCCGGGAAGCCAGCCTCCACCTCCACTCCCAGCCACCTTAGCACTTCCGGTCCCCCCCACCTCCCGTCTGTTCACCCAGCGCTAGCTTGCCAGGGGCCAGCCCAAATGGACAGCAGAAAAGAAGATCCAGGTGCGAGCCCAGCTAGGCAGGCTGAGGGCAGAACCCAGGCTTCAGGACGGCCTGACTCACACATCTCATCCTTGTTCCTGGCATTCCGAGACAGGTTTCGGATGAGGCCAGTCAGTGAGCGCAGCTGGTGGTGGTCAGCGGTCCGAACCCGGTCCAGCAGCGGGTTCAGGATACGCTCCTGCCCCAGAGCCAGGCGGCTCAGCACGCCCGCCCACTGCAGGTGGGAGAGGAGCTGGTGAGAGCGGGCGAAGCCCTGGCCCCCGTGGCCTGTACTCTAGGGTGGTTCTTCTCTCTGTCCCTCTGTCCCTCTCTATCTCCCCAGCCAATCTTGGGGATTCTGAGGCAGGACTGGCCCCTCGCTGTCTCTCACCTGCGCAGTGCACCGTCCCCTAAGAGGTCTCCCTGCTTTTGCCTTCACACCCCAGTGTGACTTGGGTTGGCCCCTCCTCAGCTCAAACGTCTCCTTAAAGCCAGCATAGAACCTAAATTTCGGGGGCCTCCGGGGCCTGTCTGGTTTGGGATGCTGGCCTCATGCTCTTTGCTACCCTTCAGGTGTTCCTCCGGCTGCATGTCCTGTCCCTCCCTCTGATGTCTTGGCTCATCCACGTATTTGCACTCGTCCTGCCATCCCGCCCCAACAGAATAAACTCCTAGAGCCCTCCTGTGCCCTCTCTGTTCACCCGCGTGTCCCCCGTGCAAGGCCAGGCATGGATCCTCACCCTGCGGTCGCCTGCCGTGATGTTCTGCAGCGCCCCAGCGGCCGCCTCAGTTGTGTGTGGGTTGAGCTCACAGCGCTGCAGCAGCTGATTGTACAGCCCCACGATCTGGGGGCTCCACAGCCACTCGAGACCCTTGGGGTCCTTAGACACCTCGGCGAAGGTGAGTGTGTCGGCCGTGAGGGGCAGCTGGGTGGGAGGTGGGGAGGGTCAGCTGGGCTCAGGCCGGGGGGCCCCCCAGCTCCCAGCTGCCCAGGTCCGTGCCAACCTCTCGGAGCCGCCGGCTCTGAGGCGTGAAGCAGCCCACCACCTCGCTGGATGGCGCCCCAGCCATGTCCCTGCGGCCCCTGCCCTCGAGCCGCTGTAGGGCTGATGGCGGCATCTCGTCATACAGGCGGTAGGACAGGTTCCTCAGCACGCACACAGCATTCTCCACGCTCTGCAGAGGGCAGACCGTGGTCAGACTGGGCTGGAAACCCCCAGGGCCCTGAGGCAATGGCCGCCCCTCACCTTGTCCTCGCACTTGCCCACGTCCAGGGCATGGTTGATATAGGTGACCAGGGCATCCACCAGCCCGTGGCACTCACGCATCTTCTGGCGAGTGGCCTGGGAAGCTGAGCTGAGGTTCCTGTGGGTGGAGGCAGATCAGAGATCCCCAGTGGGAACCAAACCCAAGGGCTGAGACCCTGAGCCCCAGCCCTCTCCTTCCCCTGAGCTGGGCCGCACCCCTTAGCACCTGCTGGCCCTGGCCTCTTTGCATGCCCATCCCCCATTCACCCCTCTGAGTATCCAGACTGGGGGTTATGAGTGTCAGATGAAGTCCCCGATTTAATGAAACCTGAGCCTGCGCCCCCAGGACCTATGACATCTGACATGTCGGCCACACCCAGCTTCCTGTCCCACTTCTGCATCAGCACCTGCGCCTCGTTTGGCCAGCCCCCACCTCCCTGGCCAGCTCCACCTTGCCACTCAGACCTCAGGGTCAAAGGCCCCTTCTCCAGGCCTCCCCTGCCCCCTTGCAGGCACTCAGCTCTCTCCCCATGGCCACCCTCTTGGCCTCTCCCAGCTGACTGCCCCCTACCCATGCACCTGAGGAACCCTGTGGCATTATAGAAGATTTCAGCCTCGGAGGCATTCTGCTGGATGAGGGGTGGTCCCCCCGCCCCAGAGAGGGGGCTCAGAACCAGGTCCGTGAGCTGCTCCAGTGTGTCTCGGGCCAGGCGGTCCTTCAGATGGTCGCTGGAGGACAGGTTCCATAGGATCCCTGGGGCAGGTGGGGCCGCGGCCGCGGTCAGTGACAGCCTGCTGGTCCCTCCAGCCCCTCCAGGTGGCACTTGGAGCCTCCCAGGAGCCCCCTAGAGAGCCTGCGTGTGAGCTGCAGGTCCCGGGGGTGTGACACAGCAGAGAGCACAACGCCTGGGGACAAGGGGTCTGGAGGCTAGCTGCGGAGATGTGCCACCGGAGTAGCTGTGGGGGCGCAGGGCAGTGGTGGGACGGAGAACAGAGAAAGGGACAAAAAGGCGGGGGGAAGGAGAGGCGCTGGCGCGGGGCTGGGGGTGAGGCCGGGCCACCTGTGACGTTCTTGCGCAGCTCGTCGTCTTGCTCACGCAGCGTCCGCAGCAGCTCGAAGATGCCGCTCTCCTCCACCAGGGCCAGCTTGTTGTCTGCGTTGTCGTAGATGAGGTTGCGCATCGCGCCCGTGGCATGCCGCTGCACCTCCTGGTTGGCGTGGTTGAAGAGCTTCACCAGCCTGGGCACGGCCTGCAGGCTGCGGGCCTGCACGCGGGGCACGTGGGTGTGAGAACGCGCACGCACCGCACCGTGCATGCAAGTGTACGCAGGCGGACACCGATGACGGGGCGCCTGCAGGTGCGCCTCGTGTCCCCACGCACTCGGCTGCACGGAGAGGTGTGCCTGCGCGTGGCTGGTGCGGACGCGTGCACAGGTGTGCAGGTGTAGGGGGGCGCAGATCACTTGCTCCTCCCCCTTCTGTGCCGGGGGGGCTCTGGGCCACACGGGGTCTGCCCAGCCAGCGCGGGGCGTCAGTGAGAGGTGGCCAGGGGCCAGAGATCAGGGAGGAGTGGGGGGCCGATCGGGTGGTCAGCGGGGGTGGCTGGTCACCTGCTTCTTGGCTCCAGCGTCACTGTAGCACTTGTGCTGGATGTAGGCTGCTCCCAGCACCTGCAGGTTGGGGTCTGAGGCCATGAGGTACTTGACTGCCGAGGGCAGGTCAATGTCGTCAAATCTGTAAAGACAGGGGTCAGGGGTCAGTCTACCCTGGGGACGGGCCAGGGCCCGGGTAGAAGTCCCCTCCCCAGGCCAGGCCCAGCTCACCCGCTGCTGAGCCTCTGCAGAGTGCGGTGGCCGCCGTAGCTGTCTAGTCCACGCACATCCGGCAGGTGGCTGGCGTCG